AATTTTTTATAGGTTCAACCAACTATTTGTAATAATAGATATTGAAACGATGTAATAGCTGCAAATGAATGAATTTTTCGTTGTGTTGCAACAAAACATACTTATATTGGTAACAAAATAGAATTCGTACCTACTGAATTTTTTATTATATGAGATATAACGATTTCATAACAATTATCAAATATCTGTTCATAACTGTAATATATTTTATATTAAATATTTAACATTAAGTAACTATTATTAAATTATTTAATTGATGTTACTGTGAATGCAATTACGTCATACTCCCGATCTATTAAATATTTGGTAATTATTATCATATTTAGTATTAGTTACTAAGGATTCAATGAATTTCTGTAACTAAATGCAATTTGTTATAGTTACTAGTCTTTTCTCTCAGTGCGCGCACTTACCTGTTGTCCACCCTACAACCGTTAGGATGCTGACTCGCTGGAGTCTTTGGGGAAACTAAGTGATTCGGTACTATTGTCCTTAAACGAGGCTCTTCTGGCAGTGGACCAAAACAGTAGGCCCATATCCTCCTCCACCAAGGAGGCGCGACGCTACGTCTTATCGTGTATATAGACTCCGATCTGCGAACACAATCACGGCAAAATTCGAGCCTTTAGTATTTCGTATGCTTTCTATAGATCGTGTATGAAATGTCGTCTCCAGAGGAAAATATTAATTTAATATTGATATACCAAATCTCGAATTCATTATTTACAGTCTGTCACACAAGAGCGATATCTTCGAAACTTGATATCTAATGAAAGTGAGACCACGATAATTTAAATGTATAAAGTAAGGTCGCCTATTATGAGATAAACTCCAAATATGAGAGAGCGAAGTTTCTGCTAAACTAATAAGCGCTATGTGTTGGTTCCTCCATAAATTCATTGCTCTTGGAGTAAAACTTATTTAATGGAAAATTCATTATTAGATCATGCATGTAGTCGTTGCAAAAAAAAAATTTTTGTGAAATTGGATGTTAAAAAGTTTTATGAGGCGAATCTTTAAACTTTGTTAATTATATAATAAATAAATATTTAGCAATAAATGCTGCATACAGTGATAGCGTAAGATCATATTAATAGGAAAATACGGGACATGTTGAATTTCTTAATTGTAGATGTTACATTTAATGATCGTAAAACCGTAAAGCGTGAAGTTCGTAATATGAGATACCGGAGGTATTCCTAATATGAAATAACCTATATTTTAAGTGACAATCGCTGCTTGTGTGTGAAGGTTATTTGCCGCGAGCGCGGTGTATCTGCAAGGGAGTAGTCGCGTACACGTGGTGAAAAAATAATAATTATGATTTTAAGGTATGTAACACGTTTAAAGGTACAGCTTCACTGTACTATACTATTGTATAGTAAAAACGTTTGTATGGAAAACTTTTCTTTATCTCTTCCCTTTGTTTTCTAGTATAAGATACTATTTCATGTAAGGAAATCCTCTTATCTCATATTAGGAACCCTTTTTTTGAAAGGGCAAAATGGCACTTTTGATAAAAATGTCATATATTACAAAGTATAGCTGTTATTAATTACTAACTTTTGGAGGTAATACCTGAATGTATTTCCCTTAAGTTTTATATGAAAACGGGAATTACGTTTACAAATTAAATAAATTACAAGTCTTTAAAAAAAGGTGCCTCATATTAGGCACTTTTACTCTACAGTCCTCTGGATACGCGTTAGCTCAGTTTCTTTCAGATACGTTTGCGTCATTGAAGGGAACAGAACTTCAATGAGGAGTGCTGCGTATACAAAACGGTTTGAGGCGGTTCCCCTGTGTAGTCACTCAAAAGGGACAAACGTGAGTTTTGCAAGTTCTGCTAAATATCTGCGATAAGTCGTCACAGTTCGTTAGGAAGTATAGAATAATATAAAGAAACAAAAAGTGTCGATGACCTTCCAGATCGCGGCTTAAAGACTACCAACAGGGAAGATAAAGTGATTCTTCGACTTTTTTAGAAAAATCCAAATCTTTCTTTACGAAGAGAGCAAGCAGTTTTGGCAAAAAAGGTACAAACATTAGTATAATGACACTAAAACGTCGTTTGGAAGGGCATGTCAAATGGCGTAGTACAATATCCAAACCGTTACTTTCAAAAGAGCATGTCGAAAATCGTCTGGTATGGGCTCGTCAAAATATCAATCGTGACTGGAGCAACATAATGTTCAGTGATGAATTCCTTTTGGGTTTAGTGTCCTATTAAACATGCTTGATCTAGTCGTGGACAACCAGTAATAGAAAGGAGTGTAAAACACCCAACAAAAGTGTATGTTTGGGATTGTTTAAACGTATGGAGTTTGTGTGTCTTCACAGACAATTTGAATGTATAAAAAATGTTAAAATTGTATCAAAGGGGACTTCTTACATCAGTTAAACATTGGTTTAGACTGAGGACGAATGGATTTTGTAAGAAGTTAACGAAACATCGAAGTCGAATCTGTACCGAATGGAAAACATAAAATAAATAGTATAATCGTATTGAATTGGCCTTTCCAGTCCCCTACAAATCCGGTAGAAAATGTGTGGTCCATAATGAAGCACAAACTTAAGGGAAAACGTATATTAAATTTAAAAACCTTAATAAAACGTATTCGTCAAATATGGAGATCGCTACCTGTGTCATACGCCGAGAAATTGATAGAAAGTATGCCAAGAAGATGCAAAGTTATAATTGCTAACGGAGGGGATTGAACTCACTATTAAAGTAAGAGTGTATTAGTGTTTTCTATACTTTCGATATACTTTCGGTATACTTTCGATTTATCGAAATAAATTTACAAATAAATTTTTATTTACAGAGATATCACCGACACGCTTTTGTGTGACAAACTGTATAAAATAATTCTAAATTTTTTCGTATAAAATTTCACTTGAAAAGCAGAATAACAGCAAAGTCACTTGAAGCCGCGCATGCGCGCGATACTTCATTCATATAAAGTAAACTATTCTACTCCGAATCTCTCGTCGAGTGATTATTTTTATTAAAAATTTAAAAGTGAATTCAATACACTTCATATCGTATGTATCCCAGTTTAATTTCAGAATTTCTTGTAAGGATATAGAGCAGATTGAGATGAACACAAAAGTTTTAAATCGTTTTGCGGTATTTGTAATAATTATCGAGATATTAATTAAAATTTATAAATAATAATGCTTGATATGTGACAGATCGCTATAGTAACGATGTCTGCCGTCGTTACTATAGCTTATACATTAGATCAAACTGAACAAAAAAGCCTTGTACTATTTCGCAAGTAGCCATGTAGATTTTTAGTTATTAATTAAAAAAGATTGGTGCATTATCGCGTAAAATCGTGCAACGATTTCCTTTAATTAACAATTAAAAATCTACGTAGTTATTTGCAAAATAGTAGAAAACATTTTTATTCAGTTTGACCTAATGTATATAAAAATCTACGTAGTTATTTGCAAAATAGTAGAAAACATTTTTATTCAGTTTGACCTAATGTATATAAAAATCTACGTAGTTATTTGCAAAATAGTAGAAAACATTTTTATTCAGTTTGACCTAATGTAATACAAGTACACGACAGCTGGTGTCGCACTAGAGCTTATCTACTATATCATACGTGATCATTTATAAATTTTCTACATCAACTACAATACCTCGATCATTATTGCGATTTTCACAAAACGGTATTGGATTTTTTGTTCATCTCAATCCGTTCTACGTCCTCACAAGAGATTATGAAATTGAGTTGAGACACCCTGTATACATAGACTTGTGTAACTATATATATAGATTAAACGCTCCACAAGAAAAGCTGTAAAGACTATATTTTAAAAGGAGACAAACTGTGTCACATTTCATTTTTATTTAATTTGACTCCGATTGGAGAAGTCTGATGAAAAATGAAACATAGTGGAGACTGACGCATAAATTTTTGCTATACGATGAAAATAGCATACTTATGAATAGTAAAATGGGAATATAGCTGTCCTTTACATTTTGTCTTCAAACTCTTATATAACAAGGCGCAGTTTATGTATATAAGTCTACACTCCATTGTCATTGAAGCAAATTCACTCTAATCGATTGAAACATTGACTTATGTGGATTAAACATCCAATTTAAGCTTGAATTAAACATTCACCTTTATAATTCTGAGTGGCGATATTTTCACTATCGTGTCGAGTAAATGTTCATTCGTTTTATTCTAAGAAATTTAGAGAGTAGATATTTTAGATAATCAATGCTATTATCATCTTGACAAACAATATAAAAATTAATTGAAAATGTATTAACATAATGTAAAGACATAAAATACATGAAATAATATTAGGAATGGAATAAAAAAAATATATTCAATAAAAATTAATTAAGAAAATAATGTTTGCAGTAAATTATAATATATATTTGTCGGAAAACATATCGACCGCACAAAGCAGATTTTATCTTTGAATTTCACGTGTAACTGTAACAATTCCAGTCTGCAGGTATATTTGCCTGTTATAGTCGCGCCGTTATCTTATTGCGCGATCGTCGTTACTGCGACGTCGACGCGATAAATCGCATCCTCTCTCGCATGCATGTACCTGGATGCCTGACGCGAATGGCCTCGAAAGGAAGGCATCCTGCCGGCAGTGGGCGGTCTGCTGCCGTCCTCCCTGTGACCCGGAGGCAGGATAAAGTCCGTTCTGGAGCCGACACGATTGTGTCCCGTTACGGACTGGCCTTGCACATCCGCCACCTGACCCTGACTGAAGGCTCTCTGGTGACCCGGCTTCTTCAGCGCCGACGGGCGACCCGCGGCCGTCGCGCTTCCGCCGCTCGTCGTTAACGGGCCCAGGAAGGACCCGTACGTCGCCTGCCATCCTGTCGTGCAGTCCGCCAAGACACCACCGTGGCTGGCCGACCTCGCGTGCGTTCTGGGGAACGGTCGTCTCCTGGCGGGCGATGTCACCTCCTCCTCCACGGCGTCCTCGTCCTCGTCGCCGTTGCTGGCTCTCGTGAACGTTCTGGCCACCGTCACGTTGCTGATTGTCATCATCGTACTTGTGTTTGTCGAGGTCGAGATGCCCATCGAGCCACCGTGGAGGAAGGACGACTGGAGCGGCATCGTCATCGTCGTCGACGACGACGAAGACGTCGCGCAGCTGGGGCGGCCCGCACCCGGAAACACGTAGAGGGACCCCTGTCCGCCGATCTCCTCGCTGGCTGCTTCCTGCGCGTCGTCCTCGGACATATTGGCACATCTGTACACATAGATGGAAATGTCCGTATAATAATAAGAGTATACTGCCGTATGATATTGAGTTAATTTAAAAAGAAAAGGAAATTTGGAGATATTCAACTATAAAAAATAAAATAAAAAAAGGTAAGTGCGAACCAGCAGACTAAAAAAGTAAATTGTAATGTATATTAAAAGCTATTCAACAATTACGTCACGAAATTTGGGCTCTTGGTAAATATACCGAATAGAGGACCCAGCTCTTACGACTTTGACCTTGACATATGTTATGAAGGATATGTCCCTAAATAACATTCAAAAAGTTTTAGGCGTCGTTCATTGTTTGTTAAAAAGTTATTAACAAAAGAATTTTTATCCTCCCACAATCATATTAATATTAAAAAAAGTAATATTAGTATTTAATAGCACTAAGACATCCGTGCTTGCTCCTTATGTGCCGTTTCAAATCTCACTGTTAGTTAAAAGAATTTTTATAAATGGAATATAATTTTGGTAAACAATATACATTGAAATATGGTGAACAGTATACATATATTCGCGGGAGAGGGGTTATGCCCCTCTTTCCGCACCCCCTCGCGAAAAAACTAACCCAAACCTAATTCATTAATAAAAAAAATTTGTTTATAAGTAGTACGTAATTTTTGCACACAGTATATATGGAAATATGTTAAATAGTACACGTATATTTGCGCGTGGTATAGGGTTCAGCCCTTCCACCCGCACACCTCCCCAAAAACTTAACTCTAACCTAACTCATCAATAAATAATTTTTTTTATAAATAGAACGTAATTTTTGCACGTAGTGTATATGGAAATACTGAAATATTTGCGCATCTTCTATAGTTCCCGAAATATTAATAAAAAAGGTGCCTGTCCCTAATCGTGTAACTAGGGAGCAATGCCCCCCAGACCCTCCACACCGCGGCGGGGAGCCCAGTTTTTTGTACTTAAGCTCAAAAATATAAACAAAAGAAATTTTGCAAGTACGGTATTTGTTTACATTGTACATATGAAATGTATATTTTAGAAATGTTATAAAAAAATATGTATTTTCTAAAGAGAGAATTTCTTAGAAAGGACTGGGTCTTCATCCCACCGCGGTGCGGGAGGTCTGGGGGGCGTAGCCTCCCAATTACACGGCTAGATACAGGCATCTTTTTCATTAATATCTCGTTTACATGTACTCTTTACCATATTCCCATATATACTGTGGACAAAAATTACATTCCGTTTATGAAACATTTTTTTTCGCGATAACTTTTTAATAAACAATAAGCGCCGATAAAGATCAATAGCATTGACCTCTTTGAGGGTTAAGTTCAACATCAAGATTAGTCGGAAATCATTTGAAGTTGGCTGTGTAAAGGTAAACATTTACCGATTAGTTTACTCTTGTCGGATTTAACAACTAATACGCATAGAATTTAAATATTTTTTTTATATCCAGGAATTTAAACTGTTATCGAAAATACCGTTTTCACACCGATATTTTTAGTACAGCAATCGAAAAATATCGATTTATATAAATGCTGATATTATAAATATTTCAACATTATATCGATATCGTTCATTTAATATCGTAACCAAAATTTTGTATTGTATCAATATAATACTAGTATAATATTGTCAGTATAATATTGCCAATATAATATTAATATTATACTGGTATTACATATATCATAATAGTACATATTTCGATATGAAATTGGGGTAGTATAATACCGATATATCAGTATTATGCTGGTATTACCATTGTCACGTTATTAATTGTATTATTAAAATCAATCAGATTCACATAATATAATCATGAATATATTTTATATAAAGGAATATAGAAAGAGAAGCATTAAATTCTTTAGTTACGTTATGTTCCGACCAGAAATGCTCTGAATTTATGCTTATTATTTTTTTTCTGCACTTTTTTATAAAATATACAGAATGTCCCATTTTAAATGCCCCAGACAAAATCTCGAAAAATATGGAAAATACAGAAAAATATTTCAGACAAAAGTAATATGGTTCGATGGAAGACATGGGAAGATACTATTGGTTTGACCTTGTATGGTGTCGCCAAGGTCAGGTCGAGGTCAACTTTGCTTTTTTAAATAGAAACATGTATTTTTTTATTACGGAATTTTATTCTACATAAAGAAACAAACAACTTTTGTTTGAAAGCATTTTTTATATGACCTCTATTTTCTAAGATATTTACGGAAACATCTACAAAATTATTGGTTTCAATAATTTCTTACTTGAATTCTATAAACTTTATCGAAAAATAGCAAGAGATAAAAATTGTTTATTTTCTTCTCATAGAGCTCTGAGAATTTTTCCAGAATTTTTTAATTCACTTTTTAGTACTTCAAAAAATGCAGTACTAAAAAGTTAATTAAAAAATTCTGAAAAAATTTTCAGGATTCTATGAGAAGAAAATAAACAATTTTTATCTCTCGCTATTTTTCGGTAAAATTGATAGAATTCGAGTAAAAAATTATTGAAATCAATAATTTTGTAGATATTTCCGTAAATATCTTAGAAAATAGAGGTCGTATATAAAATATTTTTAAACAAAAGTTGTTTGTTTCTTTACGTAGAATAAAATTCCTTAATAAAAAATAGATATTTCTATTTAAAAAAGCAAAGTTGACCTCGACCTGATCTTGGCGACGCCACGCAAGGTCAAACTAATAATACTTATGTTTCCCATCGAACTATATAACATTTGTCTGAAACATTTCTCCATATCTTCTATATTTTTCGATATTTTTGCTTGGGGTTTTTTTAAATGGGACAACCTGTATATCATATTAACATTACGAATTTGATTGATTTAATGACTTTAAAATTTATTAACTTTTACTAAATAACGTGATAGTGATAATACCGGAATCAGCACAGATATTATATTGATATCATATCAAAATATCGGTATTTATACCGGTATTATATCGGAATTTTTTTAATACCAGTACTATAATGGTATGTGTGTGCGCGTGCGCGTGTGTGTATGTATGTATGTGTATTAGATACCGCTATAAATTCGCTAGCAAAATAATTTCTTGGTATTTCTATTAGCAAAAGTCCGTATTTCTATTAGCAAAAGTTTAATGGAGATACGGATGTTTAAATCAACAAAGATCGAGTCGAAATTTTGATTTTACTTTCAACCTTATTATTCTATTCAACATCTATTTTGATACTCTGAACCTTACATCAACCTCTTTTGACTTTATTTAATCTACCCGAGTCGAAATTTTGATCTTACTTTTGGTCTCATTATTCTATTAAACACCTATTTTGACGCTAAAGAAAGTGAAAAGGGAAATTTCGGGCCTCAGAGTCAAAGTAAGAGTAAATTGTGTGATTAAAATTAAATCTACTTTACTACTAATTTAACACCTGCGTTGTAGAATTCAAGGTTTAATATATGGCCAAAATTTCGGCTGGGGCAGTTGATTCTTGTCGGATTTAATAGTTAATATGTGTGAAATATTTATGATTGCTTTTCTCGATGTTTCCATCAATAAAAATAGAAATTTAATGAAAATTTGAGTGTTTAAAATATTTTATTCTTTATGTTATGAGTTATGATGTACTGTATTTTGGGACTTCTTAGTTTCCGCAGAAAGAATCGTAATATCTAGCGTCCTATGTCACATGCATTTCTTAAATATTCTAAAGATAAGCGCTTATTCACGCATTAAAAATAAGGTATTTTTAAATTAGGTTTTAATGTAAATTTCTAAATGCTCTGTAATGTGTTCTGACAAATTTGCAATTTCTATAAATTCGAATTTCCGTCGATAATTGGCAACGTGTACTTAAAACGACAGACTTTTTTAAGCACATAGCATTTTTAGCAGACATTAATCAATATTCTCAATAATCATTAATCAATCATGTAGTTTAGCCCACGGTGTAGTGTTTCACTACACTTTTAGCCACAATTACAGATTGAAATTACATTGTAAACAGAATTTCACTTCAAACATAATAAATTTCAATTTATTTTGATCGCCTACGCGACATAATTTGTGTCTTTGTCCCAATATATTCTCAGCTTGTTTCTTCATCGTTATTCTTTGATTTGAAAATCCATGTTTTTATTATTCGCCCCGAGGAACATTTACTTACCTGCGATACGGGCGAGTTATCGATCCACGTATCCGGAATAACAATCGTACGTGCATCGCCGTATGTTCCTCCCAAACAGAATACGCAAATATAATCACGAATCCGACGCAATCGTAATAACCTCGCCGAGTTAAACCCGGAAAGTCGGCTGGCGGAAAATGTGTTAATTTAAATTAAATACTCATATTAACATTAATTTTATACTCATATTAACATATTAAGTTACAAATAGATGTCATAATTAATTAGATTAGTTTATATTTTACATTTTAAGGATATATAGAAAAGTACGCGTAGGGATATTATGTATATGTGTGTGTGTGTGTGTAAAATTGGCACAGACACACGTACATAATATCCCTACGTACATTGTACGTTAATGCATTAATTTTTTTTAATTAATAACTAAACATTCACGTAGTCATTTAGAAAATGCTAGAGGGCTTTTTTGTCAAGTTGACCTAATATACAAACATACAGTAGCAGACGTCGCCATTATAGTTTATCTACCATACCCTGTTAGAAAAGTTCTTAAAAATAATAGTATGTTTGTAAGTAAATTTAAAAATTTGATATTAAAATTAATAATAGTAAAGATTTTCATATCATTAGAATTATTAGTTATAAATTACTTATAATATTTCATATTTTTATGAAACCTAATATTTTTTATCTTATATTCCATGTTTTCTTATTAAATTCCATATTAAATTATGAAACATTATAACACGTTATGATATGTTAGAATAATTTTTTAATATATCATAAATGCGAGACTGTTTGGGTCACGTGGCCTGAAAGATTCAGTTTGCAAAGCATCGTGGCCTTTATCGAGATTTCAACAGAGCTATCCAAAAATCTATTTTTTAT